CTGAAATAAAGTTTAAAGATGACATACATAAGGTTAACTAAAACTATTATTAACATAGCCTATTATTTTTTCCGTTAGCTGAAATAAAATATGAATATTAGATGCAAAATATAAAAATAACTTGTACCATACAAAAGTAAACAATTTACTTTGAAATCAAAGATTGAAATAGATTAGTATTACTATGATTTATTTATTAATTACTATGATTTACATGCATCAAAGTACTGTAGAGTTTGATTGGACACAAACTTTCATAATTTTGGGGTCAGTCTCTGCAGTCTCTTCTGCTCACCAAGGCTGCAATATTTGTTTAAAAATACAGGAAAAACTGTAAAAATGTTAAATATTTTTACAATTTAAAATCATCATTTTCTATGTGAATATCTATTCAAATGTAATGTATTTCTGTGATGCGCAGCTGTATTTTCAGCATCATTACTCCAGTCTTCAGTGTCACATGATCTTCAGAAATCAGTATAATATGCTGATCTGCTGCTCGAGAAACATTTCTGATTATTATCAATGTTCATATTTTATTTTTCAGGATTCACAGGTGAAGTGAAAGTTCAAAAGAGCAGCATTTGTTTGAAATTGAATCTTTTTTCACATTATAAAGTCTTCACTGTCACTCTGGAGCAGTGATGTACAGTGTGTTCAGACCTGCTGGAAACTGGGTCGCTGCCTCTGCTTCAGGCTCTGGCTTCAGCAGAGATCTCTGGAAAGTTTGTATGTGTAAAGTGATGCCGCTTTTGTTTAGTTTATTGAAGATGCAGCAGTTGTTTATTTACTTAATTGAGCTTGCGTGATATTTGCTGGTTAGGTGGGAGATGGAGCCTGAGCTCATGGAGCTGGAATGATAATCACGGCCGTCCTTCCGGAATGCTGTGCTTCCCCTCGCTCTCTCTCTCTCTCTCTCTCTGTGAGTCTCTCTCTCTCTCTGAGTATCTCTCTGTGTGTGTGTCTCTCTCTCTCTCTCTGAGTATCTCTCTGTGTGTGAGTCTCTCTCTCTCTCTGTCTCTCTCTGAGTATCTCTCTGTGTGTGTGTCTCTCTCTCTCTCTCTATGAGTCTCTCTCTCTCTCTGTCTCTCTCTCTCTCTGAGTATCTCTCTCTGTGTGTGTGTGTCTCTCTCTCTCTCTGTCTCTCTCTGAGTATCTCTCTGTGTGTCTCTCTCTCTCTCTCTCTCTCTCACCGAGTCTCTCTCTCTCTCTCTCTCTCTCTCTCTCTCTATGAGTCTCTCTGTCTGTGGTTGATGCGAGACCCCAGTCATCTCTTCCAGATGCAGAATCACTTTCTCTGCTCGTCTTGGTTTTGTAGACACGCACTCGCTCTCAGCCGCTGTCAGCTTCATCTGTGGCCTTAAATCCTTCACAGCCATTGATCCTGTTTCTCTTCACTCCTTATATGACATAATTCAGCTCAATATTTATTTTTGCTTCTAAACTGTTTTATTGGTATTTAACAGGACAATACTTAATGGTACATTCAATGCAAAGCAAACAATTTCAGATGGTCTCAAACCAATATATAATAAATATAATGTAATATAATATAATATAATATAATATATTCATTTATTTTTTATTTAAAAATGGCACTTCCACGTCATTGATTTGGATCAAATAATTTTTCATGTAACATTTTTATTTGGCTCCAGACATTTTTTTTTTTTACATTTGAAATATTTAAATGTTTTTAAAATATATTAAGAGTTGAGAGTTTTTTTTATTTTATTAAATAAATAAATATGTATATTTAAATTGCATTTGGTTTTGAAATTACATTTTACAAAACCACAACAAAATACAAAAATAAATAAATATAAAAAGTAAATAAATAAAAATAATGACAGTACAGAAGTTTTCTTTTTTTCAATACAAATTGTTTCAAAGCAGCTTTACAGAAATTCATAATGTTAATTTGTATGGTAAGACTACAATAAGGTCCCATTAGTTAATGCATTAACTAAAATTAACAACATTTGTTAAAAACATTTAGTATTTATTACTCTTTTTAATGTTAGTTAATAAAAATACAATTTAATTGTTAATTCATGTTAGATCAGATTTATTAAATGATATTAATTGATACAACTTTTCATTTATAAAATTGATCAAGATTAATAAATGTTTTATATATATATTGTTCATTGTACTCCACTCAAATTAAAGAGCACAGACACAACATCTCATTTACATATCGACCAACGCAATCTACCAAGCGCAGCGCAAATTAGCATAGTCGCAAATAAAGAATAAAGAAATAAAGAAGCCACAGTAGCCTACGTTGAAAAGATCCGGAAGCCAAAAAATGAAGGTTTGCAAGTTTTGATAGAGCTGGTATTGAGTGACTCCTAGGTTCCAAGTCGTCTTTTATTTCCTGAAGCAAATTAAAAATAACATGACTTGGCACACGATATGTTCAGATAATGTGTTTTTCTGGCATTCAAAATAAATTAATACGTGTGGAAAAATTCTACCACGCGCTCTCTGTTCTCTGCAACAATAATTGCAGCCATTTCAAGCGCATGCAACTTTACAGATCTTCTTTATGCACCAAGAGCTTGTAACACTCCAAAGAGAAAGGAACAATTGAAATTGCATCATATGACCCCTTTAAGACATGCTTTTTTTGGGCGTTAAATAATGGCGCAAATGCCAGTTATTTGACAAACGCAAACCTTAGTAAAACACCTTGCGTGATTCATTTGAATACTCTACAAATGCATATTCAATAAGGTCAGGCGCAAAAATAACTGTGTCCATGCCTTTTCAGCGCTAATTCATCACTGCGCGTCTTTAGTAAAACCTGACAGTACTGTTTTAATGCCAAAAGACGGTTTGCGCTGGCGCTAGCTGTTAGTAAAACTGGCTCTTAATGTCTTTGAGTCAGATTGATCAGGTTAGAGCTGGACAATAAGATATGAACACCAACCAGATGAGATTAGCTGCTAGTAGATATAGGTTTATGTAAGTTTATGTACACAGGTAAACTTGGATATAGTCATTTGTTTTGCAATGATATTGACAATTATGAGATCCTCGAGATTTGGTTTCAAATTATAACATTTTGGTGTCCTGATTAATCAGTTTGTCATATAATACTGATATATTTAGTCCTACAGCTGTGTGTTCTTGCTTCTGATTGGCTGACCGACAATCCAGTGTGTTGATTAATGATTTTTAATTGCTGCGAGCTCATTCCAGTTTTGTTGAGTGTAATAAGTTGTTGATGCTCAGGTTTCGAGGTTTGTGGCGCTGCATTACATTTGCACTGAAGGTGATTCCTGAGATGTTTGTGTGTGTGATCTAATGCTGAATCAGACAGCAGTGACCCAAAACACAACAGGAACTACAAACTGAACAAATTCCACTTTCTAGAAGATCTGAGTCAGATTTCTGATCCAAACCAGCCCAAAGCGCTTCCTATTCCTGCCTTTGATGGGGTTTTTACACCAGTGATACTGTGATACTGATGCTGTTTGTTCCAGATTTTCTGATTGTGTTTGTGTGCGTCAGGGTTTCTTAAAAAGTCTTAATGCAGATTTTCACAAATGAAGGAGCAGAAAGTCTTAAATTCATGTCATTAAATATTGCATGCACTGCAAAAAAAAAATAAATAAAAAATTCTTCCTCAGTATTTTTGTTTGTATTCCAATATAAATGAATAAAGATCACAATAAATTAAATCACGATACATTTTCTTGAGATACAAACTTTGTCCTGTGAAAACAAAGTTTCATGAAATGATTTTGATCTATTACTGCATTCATTTTATATCTCTATACTCTTACACTGTAATAGATTTTGGAGGTCAAAACTTAAAATTAAAAATGCATTGAGAATTTTTACTTGGAACAATTAAAATGCAAATGTTAAACACATTTAGTTCATATAATTTAATTGAGCCAAATAAAATTTTTCAATGCAGCATTAAATTTTCAACATTCAACATTTGAACAGTGCACTGTATATCTACAATACAATCACATTTGGCTATTTTTATCAGTCTATTTCTATTTAAGATAAAGTTAATACATTACAGAAATCCATTCATCAATTTAATTTTCCTCTTGCAGGGTTTCTGCAGGTCTTAAAAAGTCACATTTTTAAAAATGAAGGTCCTAAATCAAAGCCAAAAGTCTTAAATTTATAAAGTTGTGCCATTAAATGTTGCATGCATTGCTAAAAATGTATATCTTCCTCAGTATTTTTGCTTTGTATTCTAATATAAATATCTAAACATCCTTAAATCATGATACATTTACTTGAGATGCAAACTGAAGATATGAAGTCTTGTTCTCTGAGAAGTGGAACAAAATGAAACGAGTTTTTGCTTAAAACAAGAACTAATATCTGTCAGTGGGGAATGAAAACTTGTTTTACCTTTTACCCACTGGCAGATATTTGCTCTTTTTTTTTAAACCATAAACTCACTTCATTTTGATCAATTCATCAGAAAACAAGACTTATTTTTCGCTTCTCAAGTAAATGTATCTTGATTTAAGGTACTTAAGACATTTGCTCTGGAAAACAAGACAGAAACACTGAGGAAGAACAGCACTTTTTTGCAGTGTGATTACACTGTATAAAAAAATCTAAAGTTGAGGAAACTTCAAAGTTTAAGGCAACCAGCTTCAGGAGATTTTTCAACTTGTTTTCTCAACTTGTTTTGTTTTCAGTTTATACAACAAAAAGTTGAGAAAACTCAAATCTCCTGAAGCTGTTTTTTGTTTGTTTTTTGGAAAATGAATTAAAAAAGGAGTGTAAATCTGTTGAAAGTTGTATTTTCAAACTTTGCTAATGCAACTCATTTACATTTAGAGAACATACTGATGTATTTGGACTTTGAGCTTTGTAACTTTGCAGATCTTTTTTATGCTCAAACAGCAACATTGCAGACTAACTAAAGTTTAAAAAGTGAAAAAGCATAATAGGACCCCTTTAAATTTGCCTTCATCACACCTGCTGACTGTAACGTGTGTGTGTGTGTGTTTCAGAGCTGTCTGCGCAGCGAGCGTGATTACGAGAGCGTGGTGCTGATGAGACTCAGACAGGCGGAAGAGAGGAAGAGGCTGATCGAGGAGATGAAGAGGCAGGAGGAAGAGGACGAGACGGCGTGACTCACACAAACTCACTTCTCTCGCAGCATTTTACCTGGATTTTACAACAATTAAACTCCCACTGATCAATAAAGCCTTTTGATGAATATTTTATAGTGCTTTTCTGACAAGTCCAGTCGTATTTATTTCTGTTTTCAGATCTGTTCAGTTCAGATCAACTGTCAATGTTGTAGAGTTCATCAATTCTGAAACGAGTTCAGTTTAGCTCTACGAGAGACAATAGTGTCATTCTATGAAAGTAAAGAAATATGGGAATGAAAACTCTTTTGTTTTTAGTGTTTAATCCTCCCGGACAAATCAAGACTCTGGCTTGAGGCAATGCAGAAAGACATTGTTTGGACAAACAGATTATTATTATTATGATTTGTGAAATATTTTGCATTTAAAGTGTAATTGTTTCTTTAAAATCAATATTTTTTATCGGTTGCATCGACTTTCAGATATTTTAAAGTGCTTTACTGACGTGAGACTTAAATCTCACTGTTATGAACTTATTTGTCTGAGGTCTTGATCTGAATTGCGACTTTTTAGCTTGTTAAATTTTTTACATTTTTTTCCCAGCACTTTCTGATGATGATGTTTGAGATTTAATTTTCATCTATTATATTTTTAGGTTTCTAAGAGCATTTTATAATCCTATATTTTTCTTGGATTATACATGTGACAGTGGACTTCTGTTCACTTTCTGTTTCTCGTGGCATCATCAGCCAATACAGTGGCTTTAAGAGTCATTAGTCACATGACATTTACGGCTCAGCTGATTGGCTCAGTCGATGCCAGCAGATCTCAAGGTAATCTAGACATCCGTTGTGACCATCCATATTATTTTAAATTTCAAGAAAAACTTTTTCAAGAGTTTATCTTGATTGTTTTTTTTTTTTTTTTTTTAAAGGTGTTTGTGACTTTTTATCTATTCTGAAAAACGTGAGAATTATGAGATAAAAAGTCGCAATTGCATTTTTTTTGTTAATTTTTTTATTCTGTGGTGGAAGCAACATAATATTTTTGTCCTAATACACAAGAAACATACACAATGTGCTTTTTACATTTTTTCCCAGCACTTTCTGATGATGATGTTTGAGATTTAATTTTCATCCATTATATTTTTAGGTTTCTAGAGCATTTTATAATCCAATATTTTTCTTGGATTATGCATGTGACAGTGGACTTCTGTTCACTTTCTGTTTCTCGCCGCATCATCAGCCAATACAGTGGCTTTAAGAGTCATTAGTCACATGACATTTACGGCTCAGCTGATTGGCTCAGTCGATGCCAGCAGATCTCAAGGTAATCTAGACATCCGTTGTGACCATCCATATTATTTTAAAAGCAGTGTAAATCACCCCATTTTTCTGAAATGTTATTCATTTGGAACAATGTGCACCAATGAATCATTTAAAGGACCAGGCTGAAATTAATTTCATGTCATCTCTTTCCTGTATTTCTGCTCCTGGCTGTCTTCTGCACGCGTGTTTTGTGCACATTCATCATCAAACTGCTGTGATTCCAGTGAGTCCCTTTTCTTCAGCGTCTTCTCTCCATCATCCTCTCCTCGCGGCCGTCACATGGTTCGGTTTACTTCTGTGGGCTGTTCTTTCATGCTCACGTTCACATTACAGCACAGGAAATACAATTACAGCCCTGTCTTCACCCGGTGTCACCCCACAGCTTCCAGAGGGGAAAAACTGGATCATTCCGTTGAAACATTACTTCATTTCTAATTTCTATTTTTGTTTTGACATTTTTTGTTTTATTTTTGCATTGAAATGTAGAGAAAATAAGTGGATTTGATTTCTTAAAAAATGCATATATGAATGTTAATATAATATAATGCATCATTTAATCAAATAAAGTTAGATTTTTGGCCCTTCATAGCTGGGTTATTATGGTTAACTAAAACCAAAATTATAAAATGGATAGTTCCGGTGCTTGATTCTGATTGGTTGAGCCGCGTTCGAAGCTGTTGTAAATTACTCTACAAAGTAACATACACCTTTGTTTACGTTTGTGTGTTGCTCGGCAACCACTTTGTTGTAACCACAACTGTTTCTGAGGAGCTACATTGTTTGGCGGAAAAATAATGTTTTTATTAATATCATTACACTTTGCTTCGTTTTATTTTGTGTAACCTTACTATGTGTATGGAATAACCATTTTATAAAAGCAATAAGCCCCGAGAAGCCGTGGTTTACAGTGAATTTATAACAGCTAAGGGGGTTGTAGGCCTAACAACGCCCCTTAGCTGTTATAGATTCACTGTAAACCATGGCTTCACTGGCTTATTGCTTTATTAAAACCATTTTTGTTAATTAAAAAAAATTATATAT